TATAGAAAAAAGTAAGCCAAGCTTGTAAGAAAGATACCACTAATCTAGAAATCGTGGGCACAACCTCTAGATTATTATTATAATAATGTAGATCACTCCAGGCTCTGTCTTCCCTGTTGGGCTGACAGAACAAGGGCAATCCAGTCTCTTAGAAGGACATTGGATCCTTTAGATATTTTATCTGAGTTTACCAAGTACAATGAGGAAATTAAGTAGGAATACTAAATAATATTTAATTTAGAAAAAAATAGGACACATTAAAAGACATCAACAAGGCACAAAGTAATCTCACAGATAATTGAGGTAGGTGTATTCTATCAAAACCCCAAAGATCTAAAAGTCAAGAGGCCCTTTGTACATATAACAGGCTCAACAGAATGGAGACTCAGCTCATGAGCCAAGGAGACCTCAGAAAAGGTTCTTTTTATTAGGTCTCTTTTTTTGGGAGGTAAGCATATTTGGGAGATGGCCTTGTGGCTCAATTGCAGCTGTTTGACAAAGTTGTTTCGAAGCCATTGTGACCTGGCAACTCAGAGACCCTGGAACATGCTAAAGCTGCCAGAGAAATGAAAAACAAAACCTTCCATCTCTGTTTATAATCCCCAAGGACAGTAATAGGTGAAATAAATACCCTCACTCCCCTTGCTCCATTGCAGACTCCCAAGAATGGATGGGTCAAGGCTCAGAGATGGGATAAAATAACACATGGGCTTAGACATTTTTATTGTGTGTGTTAGTTTCCAACTAAATACGTATACACATGATTTTTGCTTTTTGACAAGGTTCTGTAAAAATGGCTTCTGAACCAAACCAGCCCTGTTCTTTATACTATAATAACAATCTTCATCTTCAAGTAAACACACAGTTCTTTTTGAGAAAGGAAAGCTCTGTGTTTTTTCTTGCTGTGGGCAAGGCAAATAGATTTTAGAGGGCCCTGACAGTTACTTGAGAGTTTTCACTTCTGTGGCTTATTCTTTTGAAACAAAGGAGGGGATTATAGCTAAAGACTGAGGGGTTGTCATTGGATTAAGTGGATGGCCAAGGCTGGCTCTGCTATAAGAGAGGCATACAGAATTGGGAGAAAATGTTCTCTTTTGACTGTGTAAAGGGCTTAGTCCTGGAGACCTGAGAAATCTGAGCTTACAATCTCAAATTGAAAAAAAAATTTCTCTAAATTATAACTTTTAAAATTCAATTTTCCATAACAAATATTAAAATCAGAGACTGACATATTTTAGTACCAATTCAAAGAGACGATTAAAATCAAAGAGAAAAGCACACATTCATTTATTTTGACACTGAGTATTAATAAAAGAATAATATTTGCAGATCAGTCATTTTATCTACCTCATTTAGTAATTTTTTTTTCATTTTAGTTTTGTCAATCTTGCTTACCAGTCACAAAAACGAGTGTATAATTACATTGAAATTTTGCAAAGAAGTTAAAACAATTGCATAATACAATTTTGTTTTTAGTATTCTATTAAAGTCCTCAATTTTCATCCATGTATTTGTAAGTATTCATAGGCTAGGCTTTATCAGTCAAGTTTTTACTTGATAGAGATGAGAGAATGGGGCCACCAACTTCCCACCCTATATGTTAATATATGTTTCTTTGAATACAAATTCTTCCCCAACCTTTCTTCCCTTTAAGTCATCATTGTCTCTGATCGTACCATTCCTAGGCCATACTATGGGTCCCTGTTCCCTGTCTCTCCACATACAGTCCATGCAACACACAGCTGGGACTACAATGCAAATCTTATCCTTTCACTCTCTTCATAAGAAAAATGCAAACCCAGGGCCAAAGACACACACCGCAGGAGAGGAGACTGCAACAAAAGCAAAGCAAAGCATTTTAGAGGCTCACAGACTTGTAGGCATTTGAGAAATAATAGTCATTTAATTAAAATCAACTGACACAACTCCAAAAATGTAAAATTCAGCCAAAAAAATTAAGGTGATCTTAAACCTGTAAACATCTTCAGCTCATTTCTTTGACCTCATAGGATGAGAATCTGTGGGGTGCTCATGTAATGGGATATCTGGACTCTATGTTAGGAAGAATTTTCCTTTTCTGTGGGTGGAGGACCAAGCAGGGCACTTGAGCCCCGTCCTAGTTTGGACCATTCCCTCTCCTCGGTAGCCTAGCAGCTTTAACTTCACCAATGTTAATAGTTTATAACAGTTTCCCAAAACCATCCTTCTATTTAACACTTCAAAGATCTTCTACATGTTTTCTTTTTTCCCTCTGTAGAGAATTTCCTTACTTTCTGTCTTGGCCTAAAAAATTGATGAATTCTTCAGAAGCTGGCTCAAGCATCATTACCTCATCTCCTCAAATTCCTTCTTCTGGGTCACCATTTACCAATTCATGCTTCAATGTACTTAATGTACTCTGCTTACTTGTTTTCATGACTTTGTTCTGTACTAGACTTGATAAGTCCTAAAGGATGGACACAAAATGCTTTTTCTATTTTGGTATTTTCTTGCAGATTCCCCAGCACAAAATTGGCACACCACTAAATAAAAATTCAGGAAAAATGATTATTATCCACATCTTCCTTTTAGCTGTGACTGTTCCATGTTAGTCTGTCCCATGACTGTCCCACAATCCATCCCACAGCTGATTATCATTTGCCTTTTCAATTTTGTGTTCAACAGCTCGTTCCAGGAGAAGATCAAGGCCAGTGCTCTGCATCTTGACTCCAGATTTTAAAAATCCTGTAGCCCTCACTCTTAGGAAAAGCAGAGGAGGAGACATTGCTATTGGGATTCAAAACAAAATCCTTCCACGAATGTAACTCAATTTGTTTAGGTGCCCTGGAGTACTGATGTTTGAAAATATGCAATGGCAATGAAAGTAGTATCAAATTCCGTAGGCAAAAAGCCATAGAACCAATATCCCCAAAATGAACCATTAGTGTCTTCTTTTACTCACCAACTGCACATCTTGGGAACATATTTTAAAAATCTGATCTTGTTTTAAATCATTAAAGTATTTTCCAGTGTCTACATTACAGCCAGTTCTCCTTATACTATTTGTGATTGCAGCCTGTCATTGTGACCAGTTTTTTCCACTACTTAACTGAGTGTAGTATCATTTCTACTTTGCTACTGACTGATAGTACTGAGAAATGTAAGCTGTAAAACTGCAATCAAGAAATGTTAATAGGGGGTGACCATATCCTTTTACAGTGCTTAAAAGCTTAAGCTGTAATAATAAAATGTTGGCTTTTATTTCCTGAAATAATCTGAAGAAGAACTTGAAGGAAATGAAAGTAAAATCCAACTGGATTACAAAATTAAGACAGAGTTAAGAAAAAAAAATGCTTTGAGTACCAGAAGAAATCTAAAATAAATAAAAGATATATATCTGAGATACTACAATTTGACCCAGACAATTGCTATAAAGTTGTGTAACTAGAGACTCCTTGAAGAATCTAGTAATGTGCTCATTGGAAGAAAGCAGAAAAAACATTTTTTCCCTGGATACTCATGTGTATTCAACCAGCTAGCAGGATTGAAGAGAGGGAAAAATGGATTCCTGGTGGTTTAGACACAAAACACTAGAACAAAACCTTGTCAGCTGCAGAATGGTCAGAGTAAGCAAGCAGAGAAAATTAATTCTTGACAAGATTGGTCTATGCTTAAAGACAAAGGGGACACTATCATATCCTAGTACTGACAACCACAGGAAAAGGTAAAGCTATCTGGTGCAGTGATTAATTAGTGACATGCACAGTAACCTATTCTAAGTCTAGCATTCAAAACCATGGATAATTACCACGTTTTTGAGAATTTTGAAAGAGTAAGGTGAAATCTCTTTTTAGTGTTTGACTCGAGAGTTCCCACAGAGGTGTTACAGAATTCTATAAGGTTGCTGAAAGGGGTAGACTTTCAATATGTCTAGTTAATAGTAGCAGAAAAAGTTTAAGGGAACATGTCACATTAGTGTGTTCGTATTAGTCAAGGTTCTAGCAAATACACAAAAATCACCCTGTTCGCGAAAGTTAGCCTTTAACCCATGTGTAACAAATCTTCAAGATGCAGAGTACGTCATGCGCTCCTTCCACCCTCAGGAGTGCCTCTGCATTAGCTCTATTATTCTGTATCTCCTACAAGTTATACTTTAAAATTATCTTTCTCTTTGTTTTAGGTATTTCATTTTATTTTGTCTATTAGCTCAAAAATAAGTCCTCTTTTTTTCCTACAGAATCCATCCTCTGCAGCTTTTCTGGATATTTTTTCTGTCAACAGATTCTCCTTGAGACACATATACACCCTCTCCAGACAAATGTGCTGGAGTGCAAATGAACACATATACTTTCGGTCACACTCAACTCACACTCATACTTAATGCTGTGTTCACCATTCTATGGGTGCATTGATCACATAATTCCATCTGTGGACACCAGGTTAGGAATTCTTGCTTGGCTGGTTTGTGTTGTTCTGGCACTAAGACAAAGTTATTAAGGAGAAGTCTGCCTAGGTTCATCCTGCTCCTTTTCAGGGAACACTTACAAAGTGCCAGTGAGATGCCAGATTTAACTTTAAACAATAAGGACACAGTCTGCTGCAATTCTTTTGTCCCACCTATTTTCAATGTCTTAGAACTCCTCTGTACTTCTTTTCATTTTGACCCAAATGATCTTTAGTGGTAATATTTTAAACATTTTATATAAGTGGCAATATTATTTTTTAAAAATCATAGGGTTTGAATTTGTTGCTGAGCAAATTCCTTACCATAAAATCCTTACAAAGTAATGATCAAGAGGTAGAAATACAGATCATATCTGGGTATTTATGTATTAAAATATCATAGTGCACCTCATAAGTATGTGCCATAAAATTACTAACTACCCTGATTTGAAATTTATACATGCATCAAATTATCAAAGAGTAACCCCCCAATTATGCACAATTAAAATAATTCGTTTAAAAAGACCCTTACTGATAGTAAGGGTTTTAAGTGGCTTTGAAGACTGTAGCAGGATTACCTGGCAAAAACAATTCTTCCTGAAGTTTTGCTCTGGCCTTCCGGGAAAAACATCTTTTCTTCAGCCAATCAGCTTCAAATTCACTGCAATGCTCATTTGGCCATGTGATATTCACCTTGTAATAGAAAGAAAAATATCACCTAAGTGTACATTATACTTCCAAATAATTGTGTCCTCTTTGGTTGCACCATTTCTCAATGCTATTTAAGGTGTTCAGGGAATCTAGTTATCCCTTGCAAGTCAAGGCGATACATCTAAGGATGAGTCCACCAAAATAGTTGTGCAAGAAGTAGAATTTGGCTTGACCCAAAGTCCTTTTTCTACAGTCTCTAAACTTGTGATCCCCAAATATTCTGTGAAGACTGAAGTTAGATAGTAATTACAATTCCTGGCAAGGGTATTATAAAGATTAATGATAATGAGACAGAAATAATATTACTAATAAAAGTGAGAACACCTGGTCCTTAGGTTGAGACAAAGATAAAAGAATGGGAAAAGGATGCCCTTTCTGCTTAAATCTTCCCTTCTGATAAGAATTCTGGTAAATTTGGTCATGTCTCATTTGGTTTTGAAAACTATTCTTTCAGGGCAAAACTTTACACAACTACTAACTAATAAAAAAATACATTGATAAATTTTTAAAAAATCATCAGTACTATTTTTTTTGAGTGTCCACTGTATGTTGAGCAGTATGTTAAACTATTCTTTTTTAGCCATTTTATCTCATTGAGTCCTGACAGCATTACTATGAACAAATTTTATTAGAATCCCTAGTTTACAAATGAATAAACTGAGGCTCAAAACCACTGACATAGTTGTGTCTTCAATGCCATTCATGGAAAGAATAATGAGCAATAATGCAGATTGTATTAAAAATGGTACAAGTAATAAAAATAGCTTATACTTTCATTTACTGAGTATGCTTAATTTGCATTGAGCACTACATGAACATGATCCTATAGTTGGAATATACATAATCACATAAAAACAAGTTATTTGACTTATTTTAGACTAGCCCCTTTATTTATTTGGAAGAGAAGGAAGTGATTCTTTAGAGGTATTACCTTTTTTTTGTCAAACTCCAGGTCTTTAATACCAATGTTCACATCAAGGGTTTCCAGGAGAAGTTTCCGTGCTTTTGCAGAATCCAGGTAGCAATCTGAGCACTGGCAGTTGTCTCGCAGCCATACAGCTGGGTAGAGAGACTCTGTCCCATCATTCCAGAGGATTTGCATCAAGTGATTCCCATCCAGTGCTTCTGCCTTTTGGATGGCACAATGCATGTTTCTGGTGTTTGAGGTTAAATCCTGTTAGAGAGCTGCTGTTAAATCAGTGTTAAAAGAAATAGTCAGATGGAGTGGATCTAAACTTGACCTCTGTGAGTGTGCACAGTTCAAGTGGACTCTGGCCTCTGCTAGTCACCTAGCTGCCTGAGCCTGAGGATTTGACTTATCTATTCTGGGGACCTTGTTCTGATGAGAGCATTTCAGATGCTATAAACAGAAACACAGTGGCTAAAAGTAAATAAGATAAAAAGAATTCCTTGTTTTTCTTACAGAAATTTAAGATAATAAATTCAGAACCAATCCTGGGCAGGATTCAGATAAAAAGAATTCCTTGTTTTTCTCACCGAAATTTTAGATAATAAATTCAGAACCAATGACATACATACTTTTATGTTTGATAAAGTCTCTGAAATTTTTTTAAAAGAAAAAAATGCTCCACAAATTGATAGTATAACAATCGTGCCTTTGCTATTTTAACTGATGCCCAATTGTATAAGGCCTTTGAAAACAGATATTTTCATAATACTTAACTAAGAAACTTATTCTAATCAAGGGAATATTAATGCAATTTATTTTCAGGCATACTATAAGTTAGAACATAACGTTATCTCTGGTCTATTATATATATATATATATATATATATATATAAATTTTTTTTTTTTTTGGTACCAGGAATTGAACCCAGAGGCACTCAACCACTGAGCCACATACCCCGCCCATTTTATTTTTTATTTTGAGACACAATATTTGCTAAATTGCTGAGGCTGGCTTTGAACTTGTGATTCTCTTGCCTCAGTCTCCTGAGCTGCTGGGATTACATGCATGTCCACCCCACCTGGTTTATTATTTACTCTTTTTCTGATGTAGTACATTGTCTCAATGAAATATTTTCAACGTCTTTAAGTTATGCAAAGAATTTGTTTATTCTCTGAAACTTTCGGCTTTGGTATAAATCAATAGTGTGCTTTGATATTTTGGTTAGTTTATTCTGAACATTTATGGAGTATTTTTATGTACCTTCATTTTAATTGAGAATACATTACCTTTTTTAAATTAAGACATCCACCAAATTTGTAGATACGCATATCTATGGGAAAGAAAATCTAGTGCAAGTGAGCCACTGTGGTGTTATAGACTTAGCACCTCAGTGTTGATCCTGATTCCATTAATGACTTTATACTTGAATTTCAAAAAACATGACAGTGCCCTAAATTTCACTTTCTTCATTTTTATTTTCCAGAACTCATAAATAAGGATTAGAGCTTATATAGAAAAAATATAATTTACATGAAAGTAAAATGTCTCAATCTTCCAGGTAATTATCAGTTAATCATTAATAGAAGGTGATGTGAACAATAGAAATGAAACTCCATTGCCTTGAGATATGTGTGTTTCTTTCTCTCTCATACACACACACATACACACAATGAATGTTTGTAAAATTCCTTCCATTTACAGCAATTAGGTGCTTCAATGCCAATAAGACAAAATTAATCCTTGTTTTTCTTGAACTTCTGGCAAATATTTTATATAACATTAAAAATAACTTTAAAAATACACAATATTAAAATAAAGCAACTTTAGTTGACTGTTACACATGTTCCTTCCAAATCATTAGCTTTAATGTTTTAGTCAGGTAATGGAAGAGCGTCAAGACAAGGAAGATTGTTTTCTTTATTTAACTCACTACAGCTATAATACAATTCACTGGGTCTTGGGTCTATTTCTACTTGGGAACTCCTGTTTTGTTTTTTTTTTTAATTTGTATAATGACATGACAGAATTACAACTTTAAAAATCATTTAAATTATAATTTAGTTAAAATCTGAAAATTTAGCTCATGAGTTTGAATAAGGGGTTTTAGGCAAGTCCTAACATCAATTTCTCTGTGAAATGGTTAGGCAATTTGTTTTTTTCTGATAGGAGGAGGGGCAGTTTGGAATATTTTCTCACATATACAGTTTCAAAGAACAGTAATGATTTCAATAGAAATTCTGGGATAATATAATCAAATCCTTAAATAACATGTCATAGCTAAGGAAAAAAATAGAAATACAAGATTTCTATTTTTTTAAATCTATGTAGGGAGTTGCTAAATACTATCTGTAAAAGGACAGATAGTATCTTTTTTTTTTTTTATTTGCAGGGTACATACAGTTTCTGTTGCATGTTCTTATTTTTTTAAACCCTGTAAGAATGTAATAAATATCGTGAGCTCACGGAGTGCACAAAAGCAGCCTGTAGACCACATCTGGTCCATATATTGTAGTTTGCCTGTCCTTGATGAAGTTATTCAGTTCATGTTTTCACCACAGTGGGATATAACCATGCCTGGATGCATGGTTTCTCTTTTTCCTCCTCGTATATAAAATTAAACTTACTATTAAAATACATAATAAATATCTCTTTTGTGACACTGCACCAGAGGGTGCAAAGTTGACCATGAAGTTGTAATGATAAGGGAAGTTGAGATGGTTATGAAAGTAAACAAAAAATAAGACCAATAAAAATGGTGTTGATAGCTGTCTGAGAAGCTTCAGGACACCCCAGTATAGAAGATGACTACTTGAGTAATTCTTAAAGGATCTGTGATCAACTTTCATTTCTTCATAGAAGCATAAGAGGGTAAATAGCTATATTTCCAGTTTTTTTCTATAGCTAAGATGTGTATGTATGATGTAATTTTGGCCAAATTGATGAAATATGTTTGGAAGTTTCTGGGCAGGAAAACATTTTAAAAGAAGGTAGACTTGGCTTCCACATGCTCTTTTCCCCTACTTACTTCCATTCCTTTCTTTATGGATATGAATGTGGAGGAGGTATTGGGAGTGGGGCTGTCATTTTGCAACCAAGAGGCATCAAATCTACAAAGAAGTCAGGGTTCCTCATGTTTCTGTGAAATCACATTACTAGGAATAGATGGTCACATCTAGACCTCTTTTAACATGAGAAAAACAATTCCTTACTCATTTAAATCTATTTTTGCCAGCTCTGTATCAAAAGAGCAATAACTGCAAACTATTAGAGATAACAAGAAATACAACACAGAAGGCAATTGTTCATATGGACACCCAACAGTGGATTTCTTTGCTACACCTGCATGTATACCAAGTTTTCTTTTTTATTTCAAGTTTTTCCAGTGAGTGGCAAGCAGACAGGGAAAATTCAGGTTTCACAGCAAATAATTATTAACATAGATGATGGCAAGCCCACAGACAAAATAGAAAGAACTAAAAAAGTTATATGCATGTATCCTAGTTTGTGTGTCTCATATCCTTGTGGTCTTTAACCTAATCTATTTTAAGTTGTTGGGTTATTCATTTACTAAAATTAGTTGATTAAAAACCAAATGCTAAAGATACCTCAAAATAACAATGCAGATAAAACAAACACATACAGCTTGAAATTTCGTTTTCTTTATGATGATCTCCTTTGAAAGAAAATACTTCAAAGAAAAAATCTCACTTATTGGTTCTAGCACAATATTTGTAAACAACACAGGATGCATTCATTCCATAATAATAGCACTTCTGTTATTAAAACTGTTTTAATGTGCCCTCTTCATCTTCTCTCTTATCTAAGATAAATAAGTCAAGTTTTTCTGACTACTTTTCACGAGATGTGACCTTTAGATTCTACACTTTCCAGAATGCTCTCTCATAGTTACTTTCCAGTTTACAAATTGCTTTCAAAATATGAGGATCCAAATTTTAAAGGATACCAAGAATGTAATATTTTCATTATAAAAACCAAAAAAAAAATTAGTACTCTGTTTGAAGGAAAAGTAGACAAAACAAAACAGGGTTTTATTTTTATTTTTTTCTAAACTTGATGGTTTGGGAGAATAGTGGTAACTGCTTGTGGCATTGTATGAAAGAGAAATTGACATGGTTGTCAAACAAGAATATTTGTTTAAAGACTTACTGACGTGGAACTAATTGCCAGGGATACCCCAGTGAAACCCAGCACCAGGCTGGCCCTCATGGATCCGTCCAGGTACTAAATCAGCAATCATACACTCAAACTTATCCCACACTTGTGAAACCATTTTCCAGGTCCACCTGCCTAGTGACCCAAGGACAGCCAGCCAGAAGACCTCAGCAGCAAGGCTGCCTGTCCACTGGCTTAGTTGTCCCACCTAGACTCTCTGAATGGAGCTATTAGCAAAAGACTTCTCTTGCTAAACCCAGTCTTCAAAAACTGGAAGAGGTACTGACTTTTTCAAATACATGGACACAAAAACCAGGGCACAAGGATTCTGAATAATAAAGACAATATGACACAGAAAAACAAAATAAAGCACCAGGTATTGACTCTAAAGAAATTGAGATCTATGAACTTCCTGAAAAAGAATTCAAATTAATCCAGTTAGTTCAAATTAGGCAGCTCTGAGAGAATACACAGAGATAACTAAATTGTATCAGGAAAATGTGTACAAAATTAGACATTTGATGAAGGCATAGGAAGCATAAAAAAGAAGCAAACGAATTCTGAAGATGAAGAGCAATGACTGAACTAAAGACTCCACAGAGAGTTTCAGGTCATTTGAAATACACAATCAGAAAAAAAGTGGGAAAACAGAATGAAAAGGGATGAAAAAACCTTACTTGGGATGATGTCATACCACCAAGTGAAACAACACAAACATTAAGAGAATTCAAAAGGAGCAGACAGAAAGAATAAGATAGAAAGCTCACTTAAAGAAATAATGACAGAAAATAATGGAGAGGGAAATAAAGATCTGGATCTATATAGCCCAAAGAATCTTAACTAGATAAAGCATTGAAGAAATCTGGACCAATATACATTATAATAAAATTGTCACAAAATCAAAGTCAAAAAGAATTTTGAAAGGAGCAAGGGAAAAACAACTTCTTACATACAAGGGAACTTCTATATAGACATCAAATTTTTCAGTAGAAAACTTGCAGACTGGGATGATATACTCAAAGTATTGATGGAAACTTCCAAACAAGATTATTTTATCTGAAAAGTTGTCTTTCAGAAATGAAAGAGAGATTAAAAAAAAAAATA